ACTACTGAAAAGATCAATTTCCAGAAAGTTTATTCTGTATAAACTACATATGTTAGTCCTCAGTAGAGTATTTTTATTTTTGTTTTGGTTGTTTGATGTGCAATATGTTTTTGTATGCCAGTAGTAAAAAAAAGAAAAAAGAAACCCACAGAAAAAAAACAAAAAAAAAAAAAACAAAACAAAAAAAAATAAACTTTGATCTTCCATCTGTTGACTGTTTTTCATCAGAAGTATCTCAGGATTTTCAAAGAATTAATGCTGTAATTTGACATTTAACCTCAGCTCATTAGCTGGTTGAGCTGAACCTTTGGCTGCCTTGTAGGATTTGTCTACAGCAAATTAACATATTAAATTTGCCATTTATACACTGGAGTCTTAAAGTGTTTAATGCACTTTAAATTTAGTTTTTGTCTCAGTTCTTATAAAAAAAACTCTCAAATGGGGGAGGTGGTAAATCTCACTTAATTTTTTTTAAACATGCATGGGATTATTGACAGTTCACCTTTGTAGATATGTAATGAGGGTAAAAGTCTGGTACACTAATGGTAGTTCCTTTCAGGCTTGTAAACAACATAGACATGGGCTAAAAAAGAAGGTTGGAGAAGTGAAGAAGTCATGGGGACATCACTTGAAATGAAAGGGGAGAAGAGGGATGCAGGACGAGATCAAAGCAGATGTCTCCAAGAACAAAGTGCAGCCTCATCCTCACCAAATCAGGTATGATGCTCTGAGCAGCAGGGGACAAACTTCTGCATTTTTTGTAGCTAGAAAAGAGCTGAAATAGGAAACAGAAGCAATAAAATTGCAACTTGGGTAGGTTTCAGTCAAAAAGACAGGCTGTTCTGGGGAAAGAACTGTCAAGATTTGACAGTTTGGACTCAGGAGGAAATTAAAACTTTTAAGTGAATCAGCTTTTTAAGCGTATCTTAGTCACTAGAAGGATTTTTGACAATGAGACCTCTAGGAAAAAGGGATCCTTGGTGAGGTGAGGGAGGAGTAGACAGGTAATGGCGGTCAAATCTACCTTTTCTGAAGTCAACTTATTCATTCTGTTGCTTTACTAGGGCTCATCTTTTAGACCTGCTGATTTTTAAAGTTTGTTTGTCCAGGCATTTCCTAGTTCAATTTAACTGCTGTATTATGGTGTCTCTGCTCCCGTTACCCCTGTTCTTTCTGTATTTTGTTAAATGTTCTAATGTCTATTTTTCTATCTTTCATTAATCCTCCTTTCTTAAAAGAACAGACTTTCCTACTAGCAACTCTTCTGTTGTACTGCAGCTGTGCATATAGAGAAGCACACAGGCAAAGTCCTACAGGCCCACAGAAAAGATGCAAAGTTACTCGGACTAGTCAAAACACGAGCATTTTGCAGTTAGTCTGGTCTACCGACTACACTGTTCTTCCTACAAACAGTATATTGCATAAATGCTATAGGCCTGAGCAGTGTTTGTACTACATTGGGAAGGCATGTATAAATTTTGGGTAGGTGCAGAACTTCTGAATATTTAAATTAAAAATAAAACCTCCATCCATATGTGGCTCCTTGTAGCTTTGGCTAATCTATAACATAACTCAAAGATTTAGGCTTCTGCAACTAAATTCCCTACTTTCTATCTCTTATTACAAATGGAAGTTGTACTTTTAAAATAAAAGTACAAGGTAGAGCACTCAAGATAATTTCATAATAGGGTGATCTTATATTATTAGGATTTATAGTACAAGCTTGTTATATGAATTAAATAACGACAATCGGTGCAGGAATTAGTAAAAATATTTAGAGACAAGTGGCAAAGAAATCAGTAACACTGAGCAACTATGTCAGGTATTGCAAGTTAAGACACTTCTGTACATTCATTTCTCAATCACTTTTATTTGTTGGATTAAAAAAACATAAGCATTTCTAGATACTTTTTACTGTACAAATAAACCCCACTGCTGTTCTCCAAGAACAGGTTGTTTCAGCCCTGCCTTTTTTCATTAGTATCATCTAGCTAACTTTGGCATAGTAAATCATAGCAGCATGAGTTTTAAACAAATGTTCCTGGGTAAACTGGAAATTAGCTCAACATGGTCTCAGGCTGTTTAGATCTCCTACACAAGAATCAGAATTAGCCAGATCAAATGACTGTATTTTCTCCCTCATATAATGAGAAAGGCGTTCAGTGGTAGAAACGGGGTTAGAGTTTAGCAATGAACATGTTACAGACTGTAAAGCACAGCCCCTCCCCACTCACAGTAAATATGTCTAAGCTTGAGGGTTAGGGAAGAAGTTCCCTGAATTCACTTCAAGTACTGTTTGTATCAAATCAAAAAGATTGGCATTGCAGCCCTTCTGGGATCACTGATCAAAACACGTGAACCAAACCACTGATTTAAAGCCAAATGTTCACAATCATTTTTTAGCTTGGCTGTCCAGTAAATCTTTAGCTTCATTGATTTTGGCTGCCACATATGGAGAACCACCTAAAGGAAACAAAAGTATCTTGTGTCAGTCTGTTCTCCTTTACCACATTATTGCCCACCTGAGGCTCGGAGACTATAAAAAAAAAAAAAAATCTTTAAACAATCTTAGACATTTCATGAGGTGCACTTACACTGAAGCAATAAAATACCTTGATGACTTTTCATAAGTGTAGCAATTCCACAACAGCATCTTATGTAGACAGATACTCATATTTATTGTTTAGCCTACTCCCCTCAACAGAAATTCTTCTCTGTGGTACATTTATTTTATCAAGCTGAACTGGTCATCAGTGTGGTTGAGGGTGTGCAGCGCTATCTTCTACTTTTTTTTTTTTTTATAAATATTACCGCAGGAAATGCCAAGCATATGGGTCTTTGCCAGACCCAAGTTTTCTGTATTGGTTAAATATTTACATAGCCAATTAAACTGTGCTGTAGTGTAACTGATTTTAGATGAAAGTATATCATCTTCCCAGTTAGGCAATCTATAACTGGAACAATATTCTGACCATAAGACATGGTGTCCTTTGGTCAGCATCCTTTGCTTTATTTAGTCCCAAATTACAACGGGCAGTATTATGACATATGGAACATATTCACTGGAGTAGACACTGTGTGCCCAATAGAGAGCACCTGAATTTGTCTCTGTTAAAAGGTTTCTATGGAAATATGTCCTGAAGACCAGTTTTGAGGGCCAAGAAGGGTGGGGGGGAACAAGGGAAGGGGAAGTTCTAAGGTCACTCTAAATGTCTCAACTTGACAAGTACTAATGCATGTGACTTACTGTAGTGACTTCAATGGGTTGAACTGCTGTGCTTAACGGCAGATAACCTATATGCTTAAAGTTGGGCATCTGCTTACTGTACAGTATCTGTTCCCTTATGACACAATCGTTACTACAGCATAGTTTTTTGTTCTTGCTGACTTATAAAGGCCCAGTTCTGCAGTCACCGATCATGGAGGATAACCACAGACCCTACGAGGAGTTCCACACATTACACCAGCTTTCATTTAAAAGTAAAGAGATTTTTTAGTCATTTGATGATGGATCAATTCAATGATCTCACTTTACCTGGAAAAAAGATACAGCAGGTAACAAAAAAATTTGACGTAGTTGAATGTATCTACTAATCTGCAAGTGTTAAAATAGGGAGAGAGGCTACCTTGAAATTAAGGGATTCAAGTCTTTTATTGCACATAAACAATGTGTATACAAGTCCTATTTTTGTTTTATTGCGTTCCTAAGTTTCAGCTAAAAATACACCAGAGAGAACACTAATTCTGCTTACCTTTATCTGGATGATTCAAAAGCATGATCCGTCTATGAGCTTCCCTTATTTTACTTTTATTGGCTGTAGGACTAGGTAAAAGGGAGAAAGAGACTTAAGTGAGCTACATCGAAGGAACCTTCCTGAAAATATTGCATAAGGGTCCTCAGAACTAGGAAACAATATTTTTCTTATACAGTAACTCTGTTAAGAAATTTGAAAAGACTTCTCCGTCACATGCCCACTTTTTCCCTCTACCGGTGCTTAAGGTAACTGTTTCATCTAACAACTTTAGTTTATATGGCAGCCTCAGTTTATTGATCATAGCCAGTTTGCAGTGCAGATGTTTCCAAACAAACAAACTTTTCATGGAAGTTCAGTAATGTAAGAAAAACATCTTCATTCCAATAGATAATTTTTACAGGGCTTTAATGAGATGCAATTTGAGAGAGAGTTGCACTACAGTCCTTGACAGCAAGCTTTTCAAAATACAATTTTTAGGTGTTTGCACCCACAGTTTGTAGCAGCCTGTTTCTGTGACTCCCTCTATAAAATGTACCATCTTTCATTTTCCTTCTGTGTAGGCAATATTTATGGAGGGAAATGAGGAGCAGCCTTCACTTCTCATATGTGAGAAAAATGAGGATCCCATCTCTGATGGGGCGTCTGTGTTCTACAGTATAAATAAGAAACAATAAGTCTGTAAAAAAACAAAAAAAAACCACCCCAAAGGCTAATGCCTCTGGGAATACCAAGACATTTGGAGAGGAAACAGGAGCAAGTAAGGATCAAGTGCAAATTTTCAAAGTATCTTAGTGAGCTAGACCAGCAGTACCCAGTCTGTGGTATGGGTACCACCTGTGGTATGTGTTAACAGATTTATTATAATGACCTTATGTGACAAATTTGCTGGTGGTACTTAAGGTTGAACTGAAAAAATTGCTGGGGGTACTTAAGATCATATAGTTTTAAATCAGTGGTGCACAATTTGTCAGAGTTTGGGAACCACTGACCTAGACCTTCTAAAGATTCAACCATGTTTACCTTCCAAAAGCTCAGATGGTCGGCGTGTACATAGGTGCTTATCTGCCATTGCAAATATAGGCTTTGGGGCCTTATAACTTAAATCCAAATTTTCTTAGGCTTTGTAACATTGATCATTGCAGTGCCTAATATTTTGGCACCATGCTGTCTAAAGTCCTTCTGTGGTTTCAGTTCTTGGTCTTAAGTGTTCACATAGGGAAAAATAGTTCTTCATGCATTTTTATTAAGACTGACCACAAAAAAGATTTCTAACTGCTTTTTTAAACAAGTTCAGTGAAAAAAAAAAAGTGGTTGACTATTGCATTCCTAATTGGGAATAGCTTTTAAAAAAAAAGGATTCCTCTGTGCAGCACAATAAATGCTACTAATATGTGCAACATTAAACTTAGCAGACAATCTTGCAGACAGCACCAAGTAAAAATAGTTTCTGAATACATAAATTACATACATTGAGGGACCTTGGAAGACCCCATATTTTTCAAAGCCAGACACACATGACAATTGTAGTCTCCCTTGCATTCCACACTTTTTACAGAAATGACTTTACCTCACTCCTAATATTAAAGCTGCTTCCCGTTTGGTCATTTTAGGATCAAATCCTCCTCTGTAATAACCGAAGGTCTGAAATGGTAAATTTGTTAATAAGAAAATTCAGACAAATAATGTTAACTAAACCTTGTGGGAAGGACAAAGTTGCTACTACTGTACTGACAGGGCTGTATGAAGTATCACCGAGTGTTTAGTTTCGAAGATGTTTTGAGCTTGAAGCAGCGAAATCAAAACTAAACGAAAAGCATTGAAACAGCTTCAAAACTAAATGAGAGCTCTCAAAACGTTTCGAGTGGCTCCACAGCCCCGTGTAGCTCAGCCTGGAGGGGACTGCAGCCCTGGCTCTCCTTGCCTCCTGCTGCCGGGCTGAGCTCCATGGGGCTGCGGAGGCAGGCAGAGCTGGGGCTGGGCTGAGCTCTATGGAGCCTGGTGCCAGGCACGGGCTGTGCTCAGCACCAGTCCCAGGCGGCAGTAGTAGTCTCCTGTCATCTGACGTAGATCCAGGGGCCTGCACCCCCAGGAGGAGTCACAAATTTTACTTTCAAGACTTTGAGATGCAGTTTCTGAGAAACCTCTGCACCTATCTCCTTGAAACTTGGCAGACTTTGTGCCCTCAGAAAGGGCTACCATCCCTGCAACTTGCATCGGAATCAGGCAAGAAACGACAACATTTTAGGCATTTTCATGATTCCCCATTATAGCCTATGGGAGAAACGTCGAAACCAGTCAAAAGTTTCAACGAAATGGGACAGTGCTTCGAAATGGAACGAAACATTGTCCCTTCGAAACGGTGAAACAGACATGGAAATGAAACAATGGTGTTTCGCAGAGCCCTACTGACAGCACTTTCCAGTCTAAAAGGGTACAATGGAGCTTCTTAACAACTGCTGTTATGAGATTCAAATAAAGTTGAAGTTTGTTTTTTTTTAACTGTGGTGGAAAATCTTTGTCCTGTTGCTGTTTGCAACTTGTTTCAGAATTAGTGAGATAAGTAACAGATTCTCCAATTTTGCATGTATGCCTTCTGTACTCTCACTAATAATATAATACTGGTATGGAGAAAAAGGATGTTCTGTATTTATACAAGAGCATTTTTAAACTAGGGAACAAATAAAGCTACTTACAAACAATAAGTAATAACAGTAAGTAATACATCGAGGGAAAAAGGATTATGGCACTTACAGATTTTGGCAGTGTCTGAATAGCTTCTTTTACTTGTGGCTGCATTAGCTTCATAACTTTTAACACATAACGACCTTAAAGAAAGTGACTTCATATTGAACTGGACTAAAGCAATATTTTAATGAAAACTTAGAATTTCAGTACAACAGTTTTACTTTTAGATTAGGATGAGTAACAAAACTATTTCTGATCTAAAAGATAAGAGCTTAACATTTTTCTGTAGCCTGTTCCTTTATGTACCCCAAAAAGACTTAAGTACTGTATCGGCTACTAAACTGATATGGTCTATTAAATCTGTGGTTGTCACCTACCATCCCACGTTTTAACTGGTAAGAAGGATCAAACAATTCTAGTATATACCTGAAAAGGACCAGGCCTTAAGAGAAATATTCCTAGCTCCCCTTGTCCTGGTCTTCAAACAGGTTCCTAATCTTGCCCAACTCATCAGAACTCCCTGCTGCCCAACAAGCACCTAATGGGACTCAAGCCTGCCTTAACGAAAGAAGACCTCTCAACTCATCTCTACTGTCACAACAATCAATACTCCCCACAACAAAGCCGTGGAATCTATGGATCATACACATCCTCGAATCTATAATCCACCTGACACTTGGTAATCCAGCGATTCCCAAAGGTTGTGTTGTGACAGGTTTGCCGTAAGATCCCTGAGTGAGGGGGTAAATGCTCTTCTTCCTGGTACAACATAGGCCTGTGCGAAGTGGCAAGTAATCGCTTTGGATTCAGAGGGACAGTGATTTGATTTGGAGATTCGAATCGCTGTTCCAATTCGATTTGGCCGAATCGGATCCGAAGATTTGGTGCTGCTTTGGAAACCTGGCCATAGACTAAAGGGATAGATAGCAGTCCTCAAGAGGCTGGACACAGCTGCCTCCTGCTGGTAACTCTGTTGTGGTGGGGGGAAGGGAAGGGGTGTAGGGGAGGAAGGGATTGGGGCTGGGACAACCTGGGGGGTCATGGGGGAGAATGGGATGT